CACCAGCTGTGTCCTGAAGTGGCGGCTTCTTCCACCAAATAAATGAAAACAGTTTCTCTTATTTAGGCATATGGAGACGTGCTTTTATCTCTTTGCCGATTGATTACTGTAACTCTCTGTCTGTGGGAGTCAGTCAGTTGGCCTTGTCTTGTCTGCAGCCTGTGCAACATGCAACATGCAACGCTCCTCAAGAAGAGAAACCATCCTCGCCCCAGACTGGCTTCCCTTCATTGACTTTCAATTAGATGAAGAATTGATTTTAAGATTCTTTAATCTGTTTTTAAAGTACCGCATGAATAGGCATCATTGTATATTTCCACTTTCAAACCCCTTAGATCTTTTGACTAAATTGTCCAATCAACTCCCAGTAAAAATCCAGGGGTGATTAAGCCTTTCCCATTGACTGAGTTACCTCAGGTCTTTTGTGCTCACACTTTTACTTTTAGTGTAATAGTCTACAGTTTCTACACTTATTTGCAAATCACTTTGGTCAGCATTTGTTCGTTTTGTACATAAAATGTCTTAACTTGACTGATTTTCAATGTCTGCCTGCAGATAAAGTCACCTGTATGTTACATACATACTGCATACACAGAGGTTCCTTTGCATAGATTAGCTGGCACTTCACCATTACTGCCACCACCTCGGTCCACATGATGGAGTGAAGCAATAACCTTTCGCTCTATTAACCTCTATGTGAATGAAAATGAATCTGTTTTAATTGCCTACCTTTGTTACAAACAAATAAACTGACAAAGCATTTAATCATCCTAGCCAAGGCAGTTTACAGAAGAGGTGATCATCCATGATTGCATGTTGAGTATACATACATGAGTATATTGTGGTTTTTAAACAGTTTTCACATAGAGATTGACCAGGTAGATCTAAGTCATTGATCTGGTAAACTAGTAAGTAGGTACTATCTGTCGTGCAGCAGCTGTTGTATACCTACAGTATGCTAGTCTGACAAACTATAATGTGTGTGGCCATATACAGTATTTCCTATTATTTGGCTGCATTAGCTATATACCAATTACATGGAACATGACAAATTTAAACATGATAAATTCAGATATTAATTAAGTCTTCTATGTTACCATGAAACCCTAAAATAAATTAATTGCCAATCATACAGAAGATTATGTATACTAATGAGTACAGCTGTGCAATTCTGGCAACACAGACACAGTGGGGACTGTTTGAGCTTTTTGGCAACCGCAGAGCACCATGCCATCACATCATCCCCACATGGTAGAGTACTCCAAATTGCCAAAACACTTTAGCCTGGATCATTGACACTGTCAGCTGGTGAACTTCCTTTTTTTTGTTTTTCTGTAAAATAAATAGCCTCACTGAATTACAGGGAACAGTGGGTGGGTGCTGAGAATTGTACAGCAGGAATCGAAGATGAAGAATATAATATTCTTCCAACTATGAGAATAAGTGAAACAAAGGAAATAAAACAGCTATCTCATTTGTTTATTGTCTTCTGTCCCAGTGTTATTGCTCATTGAAAGCCTTGTAATGCTGCGTTCTAAGATGAGATAAAAGGATGTAATATGAGACACACTTTTGACATACACCCCAATAAGAACACATGGTTGTTACTAAATAAGCTCTCATAAAATCCTGTGGAATATGAAATTTATCTTTACAAACCTTACACCAAATGTGTGCAAACAAACACAAAAAGGGACACCGAATCGTAGGATGTTTACAGGATCTGTATCCAAATAGAGGATAAACAGAGAGCAGCTGAGCTGCAGCCTGCAGGGCCAATAAGAAGTAATGATACCTAATTAAATGGGACAGAGCATGTTTCCCATGCTGCCTTGGCATGGTTTAACTGTGGTGTAATGCAGCACATGTCACGTGACTCCACAAATGACAAGCATGAGGTAATACATACCATGGTCTTTCTGTCTTTCAGATGCATTTGAATAAATACATGATACATTGCATTTGTTTTGGCATCCTTAGGGAGCAGTGGTTAGAGCTGGTGATATGCCATGCCTCTATGGACACTAAACTCAAAGCCATCTGCATCTAACATGCCATCATTGCACCTGCCAACCCTAAACACATCAGGTATCTACAGTTCAACAACAAGAGGGAGATGGAGAGAGAGGGAGAGTGAGACAGAGAAAGAGGGGGAGCACAAAGGATTAGAAATGCAAGAAAATGAAGAATGAAAGCGCTTTGTGTGGAGGTGTGATAATCACTAGGCAGCAGATATGGAATTAACTGGCTGCTAATAAGCCATTCCATCAGTCAGATCAGTAGTGGGCTTTACAACCAGCATTTCCAATTTGAATGGAGTTTAAGGAGACCTGCGCACTGATTGGCTAAAGGTCCAACAGCTCATTTTCTATCGGAAGCGCCATGATCATCAGAGTGCACAGACTGAACCCATCCCACTCCCTGTCTCTTCTCCTCTATGGGCACCACCCCTGTACAAACGCAAAAGTCCTACACAGAACTGAGCAGCATGGTATCATCTGTCTATTCTGAATCTTTGGAGCAGCTCTTACAGTTTTTTTTTTTTTTACCTCAGGCATTCACACCGTTTGGAACATTAGATGGAGAAGCCAGAAATCATCTGGGAATGATGTATAACCTTCAGACAGCGGACGACAGTGAACTGTTGAAGACAGGCTACATGGCACTTCTTACGTTGCGCAACAGGTCTTACCCTTTGTTCTATTAAAGGTACAATGAAACTAAAGCCATATTTTTTGCTGGTGGGAGCTGCACAAGGTGCAAAGCGAAACATCAAAGTTTGCAAAGCAGTCAAATATTCCGAACCTTAAAACTAAAGCTTATTATATTTAGTTCTTTCTCATCTACCAGGATAGCTATGCAATGCGCGCGGATCAAACGACATGGACACACTCCCGGATTAGGGGGATTGGGGTAACGTGAAGAAACACCTACCGGGAATAGCCAAGTTGGTGAGGGGAATGGTGTGCATGCTCTGCGGTAAACTTGACATCCAGTCTGCAAACCGCATGTCGCTTCTCCCGTGAGACGAAGCCATGCTGCCGCCGTGCACAACTCTTTCCGTTCTCCCGTACCGGTGCCTGCGCCAACCTGGAGTGCTCTCTCTCTGTCTCCCTATCTCTCTCTCTCTCTCTCTCTCTCTCTCTCTCTCTCTCTACACACACACACACACACACACACCCTCTCTTTCTCAGACACACACCAGCGCAACCGAGAGCCAGCCCACACCCCCCTGAGCAGATCACATCGGCGGGTATCACAATTATGAAAATGCGGTTTGTTGGATAGATCCAAAAATGGTAACATTCGGTGGTTAAGCTTTCTAAAATTACGCAGTTTTAGTCACCAAAACTGACAAAAATAATTCCACATATAGCCTCGTTAATAATTTCAGTATTCTTAAAAAAATAAATAAATAACGAGACTACCCCAAATCCATGCTCCTTCTCATAAAGGTTTATAGCATGGCGGCCAGAACACCCACCAGTGTAAAAACCTACTATTTTTGGACAATGTAGGTAGACCTATGTACCAAGCTTATTTCATAGAGTACGTAGTTGTGCACTTCGACTATTTTGAGAATTTGAATCCCTAAAAAAAATGAAAAACCCTTTCAGATATGATTCTACAAACCAGCGTGTTGAGGCGCAGTAGTCGTTTTAGCCAACCATGGCGGTATCCTCAGAATGAGAGAGGTTTTATAGTATTAGGGATGAGGTGTGCATGTCACATTACATACTTTTTGTAAAGGAGTAAAGTACTGGCTGAAAAAACTGTCAGCTGTACATGCTGTGGTTGAACTCTAATTCCCAGTGGACCTAGGAACATGTCTGAGGTCATGCTCTTTGATGACTGAGAGCCATATGGCAATGACTCATTATCACTGCAATAAATATGGCAGTGACGGTGAATAACTGACATATTCACTGTGGTGGCAATCAGCTGGCTGGCCACGTTTAAATGACTCATTCAACAAAGTAGGTCACAATGGAGAATATACAAAAAACCCTGCATATTTATCAAGGTATGCATCACCATATTTGGCTGAAAATTATACAGACCTTCTTCCCAGCGGAAGCCATTTCAAAGGTGAGATAAGAGGAAGGGCTGAACATTGACTGTGGTTTAACCACTATCACTGATTGCCTTTGTTCCTGATTGGATGCTACAGCCATACTGTATGGAATAATGATATAAATGAATAATAATGATGGAATAACCAGGACAAATCACACCCAGAATTGTGCCCCACAATCACAATAAAAAGTGTAAAAAACTGTTCAGTAGTAGTGATGTGAAAAAACAGAAGTCAAGAGGATTCAAACTTTTATAAATCTTATAAATGGAGCCACATATACAGAGAAATGGTGGCTTACGTGTTCACTTACATGTGTAACTCACTAATAGTCAGGTACTCACGTTTTATGTTTTTAATTTGTAACGATAAAGACATTTAGTTATTGCACTGCTCATGTTCCAACCCATTTGTTCCTTTAAAAGCCGGTCATGTTTCCCTTTTCATTGCATTTCAGTACCAGTATAAGAAATAGGTTAAAATGTAGGCTTATAGGGTACCACTCCAGTTTGACTCATGAAGGGATGTGCTGGATTAACGTCAACAGCCGACGGCAACAGCCCCTGTCACTTTCTTCCATTTTTCTGCTTGATGATCAAATCCAGTTGATCTTCTTGAACCCAAAAACCTACCGGCTGAATTCTGCAGTTATGTAATAGCCCCCAGGTAATGGCAGCCCCTCTCTACTCAAGTGGAGAAATCACATCAAGAATGTCAATGCAAGCGCACCATCCATATATAGAAAGCTCTAACCTGTAGAGTGTCAGAAGCAATCACTCTCAAAGTAGTCATTTGCTTCCAATCATAGTGTAATTTAAGGAGATATGATGATGATGTATAATTTGAACACACAAGCCAACTACTGTTGCTTTTTAAAGATGCTTTTTATCCAGAAATTATGCAATTTAGAGAAAAGACATTCCACTTGTTCCACTCCGCACACAAGGTTGAATTTTATTTTATATACAAAGGCAAAGGGACAGCAAACGTTTGAGTAAAAATGTTAAGGCTTAACATTTATGGGCTGAAATGTATGGTAAGACCAACTCTGACATATATGAGAAAAAAGACAAACAGTTTGACTTTCTGGCAGAGGGGATTATTACAAACATGTCCTAGTTAGACCCTTATTTTTTAACATAGGCCTCATTTTCCAAATAGAGTAAAACAAAAAAGCTATTTCACATTGGATGTATAATCCAAGGACATTTTACCTTACTTTGTGTGGCAAGAGTTTAAACAACTACATACATATTCCCTTCTGTGCTGAATGAAGAATCAGCTGACCTAGAGTACACATTTCTTTTTTAAATTCATTACATTTCAGGTCTTTCTATCCTGTTACAGTGACTTATTGATATACAGTTCATACGATTCACATTCAAGTTATTGTATCATTTTTGTTCATAGTACTAGTAAAGTTGCATTTCTTCTTAGACATCATATATCATTACCATATATTCCCAGCTTTTAATGTCAATTTTGGATTATTATCCATTTGGAAATAGCTGCACAAACATTAGTAAAAATTAATAACTTAATGGTGTAATAGGCAACAATGCAATGTTCCCTAATTGTATGTTGCATCAGATCCCCAAAAAGAACCATACATGTTAGCTCCTGTGAGTCCCATTCAGTTATTATTAGTGAGGACTAAATCCTTCTGATATTTGCATGCTGATTACCAGGGAACTAAAACAACCACTTGTGTTTTATAAGCTTATTTGAGGCTGCTAAATCACCAGCTGTTTCCCACACCAGTTTTTCTCAGATCCACTGCAAGCTCCTCTAGATCTGCTGCATGGCCGTCAGGTTGGGAGATACCTAGAAGACACCAGACAGATCATGAGGGGGAAAGAGATGTCTCATTGTTGTGATACTTGAAAATGATATATAGCACTGGTAGCCAAACTGTTAGGTTACTTACTTCAAAATCTGTGCCGGTACATGCCTTGATATCCTCAGGAGTGAGCCCCTCCCACACTTCTATCAGAGTCAGGCCTTTTGTATTATCTACATCAAACACAGCCTGGAAAACAGAAACAGGGCAGAAAGAGAGGGAGGAAGGGGAAAAAAAGATGTTTAGAGAGACACAGGGTTCGGGATGGGCAATTAGATTCAAAGACAAACTGGTGGGAATGAGTCTTTCCTTAATAAGTGTTTTTTTTTTTTTTTACTGTCAATGGTTTGAACCCTTTGATGTGTGTTCACAGACAAGGATGTGTGTGTGTGGGGGGGGGGGGGCTCAAGTGACCTAAAAGAGATGACAACCTCCACCAAAAAAATAAAAAATAACATCAGCGGCACAGACAGGGGGCAGAGTACCACTTCAGTGTCAAAATAGCATGAAAGGCCTCAACTCTCAGGACCACTACAAAGTAGTGAGCAATTACATTTTAATTGTTGCACTACTTTTAAAAGGTTATAAAAAAAATTCAAATATGATGATTATTATGAGTTTCTTGTGGTTTTTATCGATTTACCCAATATCATATTTATACAACACTACAACCCAGGGGATGTGCATTAATGTTATTTAGGGCTTACAGTGTGCACGAGTCATAAATGAGGCCCCTGGAGATTTCAAGATCTCTAAGAGTAATCGAATGCTGTCTATGGCTAAAGGCATCAGTCCTGTAGAAGAGACAGGAAGGTGGAAACTTTTTGGGAAATTGCCATGGCGAATCCTGTTAAACCTGTCATTTACACTAAAGGGCAAAGTACCACAAATGCTTAAGATGTATCTAAAGAAAAGTAATTCATGTTCCATCTGCTGAAAATTAGCAACAAAAAAGAAAATCAATATGATACACTAATGCTTGTAGACTACCTTCTGGAAACAGACCTGTTATTCCCTCCTTAAGCCCTCTTTTATGAGCCTAAAAAAATTATTTTCATTCTATGAGCCATTTCTTTGTTTAAAACATCATTTTCTGTTGGTACTGTGTTGTTTCCTACATTATCATTGGTTGCTTAAAGACTGGACAGATTTTCAGCATAAGCATGACTTCAAGTCAGGCATCCTGCTTTCAGTTCCAGTGTGATTCCCAAGTACCTACTGCAAGTTATAGTCTGTCTCCATCAATAAGTTGGATAATTGGCTATCTTAAGATTGCCATGGATATCATATTATTAGTTAACTTCTCAACACAAGCCTGACATGGCAAGTTAGTAGGGTGTACATACATTACAGCTTACGACAGAGATATACTTGCTTTTTAACCATGCGCTCACATAGCGTTAATCTCTGGGGATGTTCACAACCAACAGATAAAGGACGCACGAGACATCCCATCATGGGTGCACAAACGCTTAGTTAAAAGCAAGTATATCTCCGGCCTTATACAATAATCCTTTAAAACTGAATCTGGAGCAATATCATTATACCTATTTATGCACACATACTTTATGAAGATAGGCCAGGCACACTGAGCTGAGCTAGTTCCTGTTGCTTCTCTCAGCAGGGACTGACAGGCTAAGCCACAGTCACATCCAGGAAAAAGCCTGTCAGGACACTCAGCTCATTAGGACCGCACACGCACACGCATACGCACACACACACACGCACGCACACGCACAAGGCAGGAGGCAGATATCTCACTCCAATGTCTTGCAATATAGCAAGACAGATGGAATGTCACAGGGGTCTATGGATAATACTGACACGCATCCCTAATCGTGACACTTGTCGCTAGTGATTAAGGAAAATTAAAAAATTGTCAAAATGTGCCAGAGGTGGTCGATACAGGTGCGACAACAGTGTGCAGATATGGTAGGTCTGTCAATGTCAGCTCACGGTTTGAGGTATTCTGCTCTAAACTGCTCAAGGCCCTGACACAAAATGGTCGGGGCATACAAATTTTAAAGCAATTAACTATTGACTGAGCTAGTTTCTGATATCACACTTTACTACTGAAAAACAAACTGTGCCTCTGATTGCAAAGCAGCCTTTTTGTTGTGAAATTGTTGAGTCACCTTTCTTCACAGTCTTCAAAGTCACCACCGTCATTAACCAAATTGATGCAAGTTAGTCATTAAGAAGCTGCTAGTCTACCCCCAATGTGTTGTCTGGCGAGAAGTGGGCTGAATGTCATGTAACAACAATAAGCCACCATCATTCAGCCCACTCGTGCTTTAGACAAATGTGAATATAATAAAGAGACGAGAGAAAAGATTAACATTTTACCCTCCAACAAATAAACTTGAAAAGCGTACCCAGTATTCTGTCAGTGCATTACAGTAATTACAAGGAGAAGATTTTGAGACGTGTTCAGACAAAAACTCACAGTAGGACCATAAAAGAATTTCAATTTGGTTCCTGGAATAATATTTGCTGTCATTGGCACTGCTGTCATTATGGCAAATGCCACAGGTAACACTTTTCTGAGCCCATTATGATGATTGAATAATTCAGGAGTCATTCTGCTTCATCTGTGAATGAATGTGCAATTATTTTTTTATTTAAATAATTCCCCAAATAAGAAGAAAATACTAGGAGGCTTAGTATGTAGACCTCTGTCATGGCAGCAACTCAAGCGCTGGGGGCCACGGAAGTGAAGTGATGTACTTGCTGCACATATGAAGAACAAAAAAAACAACAACAAAAAAGACAACGCTGCAAGTGAGAAAGCTTGTAAACCATGGAGCTGTGGTTAAGAGAGAAGAAATGGCCACATAGAGTATAAAATGGTCCAACCATATAGAGGAGCGGAAGAGACACTGCCTGAGGCAACAGGTTTCCCATCACCCTGGGTCTCAAATCATTGCAACACTATTTAGGGCCACACTATTTGAATTACCATGCCTCCTGGCCATCGCGAGCCAAGGAGGATGATGTGTTGTGTGAGAATATATTCTGTATGTCAGCATCTGTGGATGTGCCTGTATGGAGGGAAAAGAATGCATTTATGGCAGGTTTGGAAGGCCCCAGTTCACGCTGTCATTTTGGAAACAATAGCAAAACAGTAGAATACTTTTAGTAGAACCATTACCAGGGTTATTAAAAACATTGTTTGCCACCATGTTTATAGTGCCAGGTCATAAACACACTGTATGTGATCTATGCCACAAGGCTCTCTCAATCAAACAATAACTAAAGACCGACCTTGAGGACATTTTTTGTACAAGCACTATTGCTGGGGAAAATCTATCTGATATAATGTTTAATAATGTCTTAAAGCTTTATTTACGTAACGTTTATATATAAAATAACCACAAGTACTGTTCATGGCTAGCAAGCTTGTTTGCGGGCTTAGAGGGGGTAAAGTAGATATGACATGAGGCGACCAAATGAAACACAATGTTACATATTATGTCTTTAAAATGTGTTATTAACTGGTGTCCACATCTTTAATAAATGTTTTATCTTACAACCACACCATGTGAGATTATTAACAATTGTATGTCATAAAAGTCCTGGTAATGTTTCTGTAGGGAGCCTAGTAGACTTATAAATGATTGCTTTTATTGATCAATGTTTACAGACAATCACATATAATTGTTTGTCTCTTCATTATTGTCATAGAGAAACATGGTAGCAGAGCAGACTGTTCTACTTTCAGATGTATCACTGGTTAAATTATACCACAAGGACTCTAAAAATCTGTCATAGGCAAGTTGAATCACACTGGCAATATGAGGGTAAATAATTTTCTCTCATTAAACTGGTTCATTGTGTGTCTTGGCTGTTCAAGTTTGAAGGCAATTTTGAAGGTCTCTGCTTTTTTCATGTTTCACCTTGCTCTTTGTCACTGAAAAAGTATTTACATAGTTTATTACATATAAACATTACATGAACCGTACTGCAGAGTATAGCTGAGTAAAATCTTCAAGCCTGCTTGTGTGTTAATCCCCACATTTCTCTAACTGGCTACAAAACTCCCTGTCACATGCTTGCTTGTGCATATAGCCACACACACACACACACACACACACACACACACACACACACACACACACACACACACACACACACACACACACACACACACACACACACACACACACACACACACACACACACACACACACACACACACACACACACACACACACACAGCTAGTTATACTGGCCTTGATGATGACAATAGCTTAATCAACACTATGTTGGGCAAACCAAGTTATTATTCAACAGGTAAGGTTCATTACTTGTTGAGTCCAATGCTCTCCAGTTTTGAGTGACTCAAACCACTTGGATTGTTGCTGACAAAAATGAGGTGAAATGCAAATGTTTTGTAGTCTTTTACGTCTCTGCCTCCTGTCACTGAACATGCTGTGAAAAACAGTAACTCTTCTCTTCTAACTCATTACTAAGGAAGGAATTTAATAAGGGCAGTTGGTTCACGGTAACAGCAAGATACTGAAGGCTCTCTGGGGGTAATAATAATAGTGTGCACATTGTTTTTTGGACAACCTTAAACATTCAGCTAATACATTACATACACATTCAATTTATCCTAAAGTCTATAGGGTTCTTACATTGTCTCAAAGTCTCACATCATTTGAGCAAGTTTGTGTTTCTCATACAGTGAAGTGTTTTGGCAGTCCTATTAAGTTTTCGATGCCAGAACTAGTACACCTCAGTCAGATACAATATTAGAGGGAAGAAAGGAAGCCTGAGGAAATACAGGACAGGTGTTTGAGATGAGAAAACTGACTCAGCAAATACAGTCTGGACTGAAACCATGTCCACATCACCTGAACTAATGGATGTGGATTCAGACAACCTAAACAGTTTTTTTCCCACCTTTGTCAAAATGAATCAGTGATGTGGATAATGATGATGGATCCCTTCACACACAGCAGGAATATTGCAACCACTATTTGCTAATAAGCAGGGATGAATGGACAGACAATTTTCAGTTCAATTCAGCTGTATTTGTATAGCGCCAATTTATAACAAAAGTTATCTCAGGACACTTTTGGCAAACATATGATACATCGCCTTATCTTCATTATGTTTTCTTCCTGGTCCTTATTTTGTCTTTCAATAAAGCTGAATATGCAATATGGGTGTTGTCATTGACACATTGTTCCTTTTCTGTTGTCTGCTGACAACAGCAGCACTAAAGATCACAATTTAATTGACGGTCTTGCAAGCTACCAGCTAACCAAGCTAGCAGTAAATCTTAAGCTTCAACACTGACACCCTCATCAAATCACTATATTATACTTGTGCTGTTTGACAAGAGAAACAGAAAAATATGTCAACATGACAACACCTTTATTGTGCCGCTCGGAATATTGATTTTCTAAACAAGCAATCACAGAGAGAGCTGGAGGTAACAGAAAGTTGGCTTCTTAACCTTGTTGCCAAGTATCAGTATTTTGGCAATATCTGGAAGGCTGACAGGCTGACAGTCATGTGTCAGAATTTTTGAAAAGCTTAGTTTTCCCTGTCCAAACTGCAAAGAGAAGCTGGCATTGAAGAGGAGGACTGTTTTCAAAATGTTTAGAGATGGGCAAATGCCTGTTTGGTGTGGATGGAAGGCCACAAGGAGAGCAGAAAATATTTAAAAATGTATTCACTTGTATTCGCAACAGACATATTATCAGAAGAATAAAACAGAAGGGGGAAGGATGTGGAGGTCAAAAAATAAGTAAGATAGACAAATGAATAAGAGGAAATTGTGTCTTGATAGAGATGGAAGAAAATGAGAAGAGAAGGCATAAATGAGAGAATGTAAGAATTCAAGTCATTACAAAGAAAGTAAAAGGCTTGGCATGTAATAAGAGAAGAAGAGTACTAATGGATAGAAAGGGAGAGAAAACAGCAGGAGATAAAATAAGGAAGGTGGGACCAGTGTTAGCAAGGCAGTACAAAGGAGCTTTAACCTTTATAAATATTGACAGAAATCTGCTGGCTGAGAAATGTTGCGCAATCACAACAAAAGCCAGCCGAGCAGAAAAGGACAGACAGGTGCAAAAAAAGGAGGCAAAAAAAAAAAAAGAAAAAGCCATGGACACACTGTCTGACTTTGTTCCTGACTGGTCATGTTTTCAATGAGTGAGTTCCAAAGGCAGTAACCTGCAGAGAATTACAGGGAATTGACCAGAGTACATGAGGACACAAAAACTACATCAGCACCAATTTAAACCACCTTTTTTCCGAATCCTTCCTACTTTCTAACTTTTCCAAACCTTTTTCCAACGTTGTACTTTTGCTTATGGTCTGCTTATTTCTCTTTTTTTTTTTAAAGATAATTTTTGATATTTGTGCTTTATTTAGATAGTGACAGCTGGAGAGAGACAGGGAAGGCAGGGGGACAGAGAGAGAGAGAGAGAGAGAGAGAGAGAGAGAGAGAGAGAGAGAGAGAGAGAGAGAGAGAGAGAGGATGAATCAAACCTGGGCTCCTGAATTAAGGACTCAGCCTTGATACACACTACCCACTCTATCAGGTGACCTACCGGAGCACCCCCGCACTATTCTGACAAGTCGGTCAATAAAACCCCATTTTGCTGGATTTACTATCTCAGAGGGATGCGAGTGATAAAATAATATTCACTCTACTCCACGACTGGACTATTTCTCAGACTTTTTCCACCTTCACCATATGTGCTACCACGTACAATAACATATTATCCAACAGGTTAGCAAATGCTTTTACAGTCTTCCATCACACCACACAGAACTCAAACTGTGGGGAGCTGATGAAATTCAAAACACAGCAGAAACGGAGCTCTTCACGCACAAATGAAGACGATGGAAATTTGCATTCAGGATAAGCTCCATAAAGCTTTCCAAGGGAGATTGAGCAGTAAGATTTCCCAGAATACATCCTGTGGTCCAACTTTCTAAAAAGAAAAAAATAAATAATGGGAACCAGCAACCCCACCTGCCAATCCATGGGCATTTCCCAACTCTTATGCAACACACAAGATCTTCCATGCCTGCGTTAGTGGAGCTTCTTGACAATTCCTTCATAATATGCAACATAAAGTGCTTTACATAAAATCACAACATATGAAAACAAAAGGCCTCATTCTTCAGCTTGAAGGCCTTCTTCAACACTCACTTTACTGCTCATTTGAGAGTCCAAGACACACAGCTGCAGATTGGCTACGACTACAATCACTGCACAAGCATGAGCAACATTACGAGCAGGGCAGGGGTGGGATTATCAACAAAGTACATAATAAAGGGAAACCCAACCCTAACCATGAAAATTTAAAAAAGATAACAAAATCAATAAGCCTCCTTACAGAAAATCAACTGATCGAATTAGTGTTAATTGAATAAATGTAATTTCCATCTACCCGTGTCACTCTGCTCCAACATACCAATATATCAGTTGCAGTGTGATTGTTTTCGTATGTGTGCGTGTGTGAGGGAAATGTAATTGAGAGATAAAGACTCAAAGTTATTACATTTTGGTTTCAGTCAATCACTCCTTACTGGAAGGTGGGAAAATGTTAATACTTTGCAAGGTGAACAGCCCTGAGCTAAAAACAAATTAACCAAGATTTTAAAATGAGTCACGAAAAAGCCTAGAGCTATTTGTAGACAGTAAAAACTGGAAGGTATGCTCACATTTCTTGCTAACCGCAATTTAGACCACAGGGCAAAGTTTTTAAATCTGATGTCTGTGAAGATATTTTCCCGCATAGGCGCACAGTTAGTGATGCATTTTATGTCAACCATAAAACACATCACTAACTGTCATTAGTGGCTTGCCAGAGCTAAAAGAGGGAGCAACCGCAGCGACAGAGTAGGCCACAGCAACTAGGAGTATGTCGGAGACTATGGAAGAAAAACTTAAGGCGTACGTCATAAGCATGCATCGACAATGTTTGTGTCATTACTCTCACTACCAGAAGGGGGAAACAAAAGTTCTGCACTGCAGGTTTAAGCATTGTATGACAATAATTTATCAAATACATTCACAATTACTGCATGATTAAAAAACAAGATGGAAATCCTACAAAGCTCCTATACTACAGTCTACTGTACGTATAGACTTATTTTGGCTACACCTGGGTGCCTGTATATTCATGTTTTACAAGAACATTGCTTTTTAACAAAGATGATGAATTCAGTTCAAAATCACAGGCAGGTAAATAAACTACTTGAACAAAATCCTCCCATCCTCCTTAAATCATGGGGGGTGGGTAGTACTGCACAGCTATAGCTTACTCATTGGCACAGTCTGTATAGCAACTATAAATAAACAGTCTATGCCTATCACTGTCCATCCATATATTTCAGTTTAAATTTAGGATGATGAAGACATATACATATAAACACCCATATATTATATTATATAAAAGAAACCGATAAACACACCTTTTCTGTGATGATCCGATCAACACATTGCTTTCCTGTCAAAGGCAGGCTGCATTTGTCCAATATCTTGTGTTTTCCTCCCTGAAAGAAAAAAGGGGTAGTTGGTTTAAAGAAAGACTTAACTGGAGGTGATTCACCCAGTTCAGCCAGTGAAGCCTGTCAGTCACTTCAAACAGTGTGTTAATACTTTCATAGATGCAGCTTAAATTTTAATTTATCCAGGGATTCAGCTGGTTATGTACTCATTTTATCCCCAAAGGATATACAGCACATATCCATGTGGGTGTGTCTTAGTTTCCCCGCCAGTCATCTTTAAGAAGAAGCACTCGTCCAAATGCCTCTGACGCTGCCTGAGAAGCACACATCATACATCACTTACCCCCACCACCCCTTACCCATCAAGAATGAAAACAGGCTTCAGGGCACTAAATTTATGCTCACCTGCTGCACCATCTGGACTATAGCTGGGCGCCAGACAGGCTCCCATTAGCAAAAAACAGCATGCTTCTATGAATACAGAATGTTACATTGCCCTTGCATCATATTGGTCTGGACTTTCCAAAAGTAAACCAATTCAGTTGGGTTGCCTACTGTTATTGTCAGAAACCCTGTGGGGTTATACATCTCGGGCTGCAGCACCAGTCTGACTAATCAGCTGTTTCCAATACACCAACTCCAATTCTAGACTTTTCAAATTAGCCAAAGACGAAGGGACAGGAGGTGGTTTGTGTGCAAAACCTAATCAGGATGAGCTGATTCTTTCTAGTAAAGAGGAATTAAGCAATCCATTAACAGAATTATCCTTAATCAGTCATAACACTCACTCTCATTATCACTGGAAGCAGATACAGGGTACACTGGTGAAGGAACCAAGATGGGACATGAAAATTGCCAATTTAATTCGACGTTTCGTTTCTTGAGAAAGGGATGAGTCTTTTGGGTTAATTTGTTATGGTAATGTTGATTAATAAAAGTATACTAAAAAGCACATAGTCTCTCTCACTCACACACACACACACACACACACACACACACACACTTTGTTACATGTATACACACCTTAGCTGAGTGCTCCATGGTGACCACCACCTTGGTTCCAGCGCTAGCCACCAAATCCATGGCTCCTCCCATTCCCTTCACCATCTTACCCTAGAATGGAAGTTAAAAAAACATTGAGGTTTCATTTATCCCATTTATCAGGAACACCTTAAAATATAGCACAGTCCAATCCAAAACTGCCAATAACTCTGACCTTAAAAATGACCAGCTCAATGTACAACAAATACTGTAAAACAAAACCATACAAAATAAAAGCATTAATTTAGGGGTGGGAGGAAATGGCAGGAATACATTTCTCTTCTACTGTAGGCTACATGTTCAAGTAAAGATAGTTCTCCCAAAAACAACTCCTCCATCAAAAATATATAAAAGTTTACAAAGCTGCTCTGTGGCTCTGTCTCTTCAATGCAAGGATATCTTATATTGCTCCGTGCTTGGTGAAGCCTAATTTTAACCCTGCACTAGTAAGACTCTGAAAAACTTCATACACTGACACAGAGAACAGGAGGGAGAGATTAGAATGGATCTGCAGCATTAGAAAAATGTGGCGAGGTTACAGTGGCAACACCACAAAGGTCTGCCAATTAAAGATTATATAATGCACTAGTAACATCATCCCAAAATATTCAAAGTATCTTAGAAGAAAATGCTTTTTTTGCAACCTGGGTCCTATTTTAGTCGTTTTTGATCATTGTCCCTACTGTTTGGGTTTACATTTGACTTTTCAGATTAATTAGTAAGGGGAAGCAGTGACACAGCCAGGCACAGTTAGTTTAAGAAACAACGGGTGAAATGCAAAATGGACCGATCAGGTTATAAAAGATTCCAGTTTAACAATTCCAAACCTGATATTTAGAAGGGACAAGGAAGGTGAATATATCCAGTATCCATTATAATAATCCACTGCATTGCAAAACAACTTTTCATTTCTGTGGTAGAAAGTAGCTGCAATGAAAACTGTTGTCAGCGTTTTCTGTGGATTATACAGAGCAGCAGCATGGCTGTTTCTGGAAAGACATGTTGCTGTTGAATTTTTGAATATCATTTTTCTATGCTGTGAGCACCACAAACTAAATTACATTCACCACCTTTGTATTGGGTTGCTGGCAGAAATGTCACGGACAGATATCTAAAAACATGAGCAAATTAAACCAAAGTCATCTGCACCAATAGATAGCAATTGAGGTGAGTGAGAAAATATATTTTATGTAATTGTGTGAACCAAACCTTTACGTGTATGAGTAATGCGCTCAAAACTCATATGAGATGTGGAAAACTTGTACTTCTCAATCACTTTAATGAATTAAAGAATAAATTCTATGAGATTCTATGGACACAGTTGGATACCAAAAGCTTAAAAATTATTGCATATTGCACACAGCTTTATAACCACCTGGGAGGGGCAAAAAATGTGGGTAGCTCTCAGTCAATGGTGTTTTACAGTTATTATTATCAAGTGAGTCTGGATTCTCTTCAAGGCCTACCTTACCTGTACCTCCAGGCACCCTGGAGCCTCCCAACATAAAACATGTCAAATGCGAAGGCCTCCGAGACCTCTCAGGTCAACAATCACGTGACACGTCAAAGCGTTCCATCATATCCATACATTTTTAACTGAAGCTACATTTCGAGCGTGTATTTAAAAAAGGTCAGAGGTATTAAAGGTTGCATTAGGAAGCATAGGACGTCAGAATGAATTTACTACCATCCTAAAAGCAATTTTGGTGCTTTGATGGGGCCTTTTCAACAAATGGCTTTCATAGTCGTGTATTTATATAAGATACTGTAGCTGCGGGAAAACCTAAGTTAACTACCAGGTCTGAGTTAGTAGTAACTGATAAAGGCTTATGTTGCTAAAGACAGAATAGAAAAAGGTATGATAATGATAATTCACAGTTTCTTTTAGAAATCACAGACAATCTAAAATTATCCAGGGACCTCTGTCTCTTATTCAGGCAGAAAAACAGAATGACAATTATAAAGAAATGTGAGAAGAGCAGAGATCAAGCAGCAAAGCATCTGCAGTGAAGCAAACTTCAAACAGGAGGCATCTCTTCAATAAAATAGCGATTTAATCACGTTTCTTTATCTTCGTTGTTTAGACTATATGGTTAAACTAAAGGATAAATGCTCCCATGTAGATACACATGGTACTAAAGCTTTGTCTAGTTACAATTCAGTGAGTAAAATAAATATAATTTTTTTCAAACCTTTTTATAAAATCACTGTTTTGTTGTTTTTTTTTAAAAGGGAGCCAAGCAAAGTACTTTCAAAAAATAAGCAATCGAAAGATCATCACAGCAACAGAATTGCCAGCTGGGTGAAAAAATTTCTTCTAGTCCCTCATTGTTCCCAATAAAGAAGGTTTCCAAATAAGGAAGGCTGACATGCAGATATGGCCACAGGGTGACGGCTGAGTAACTGAATTAAAATCCCATTTGCTCATCAATCATGTGAAGAGCCTGCTTGGCTTTCTGCTCGATAACCAGAGGATATATATGCCAAGTGCGGTGCATCATAAGGATACTGTTTGCCTCTGGGGAGGCCAGCTGGGTGGAGAAGATATCAACAGAGAGCGGAAGGAGGGTTGGGAGAGGGGAGGTAGAGGATGTAGGGAAAAGCACAGACTGAGGATATGGGATAGGGTGCATTTAATTTGATATACTTTACTCTATTATATTATAGAAGAGCAACTGAAAATGGCCTATAGTAACAGCTCCCAAGACATCCTTACAAAATAGTATCCATTTTGACTTTTAACGTCCAAACTCCCCCTTTTTCACCTTCCTTTTCATTCAGTACTCACTGACTCTTAAGCTGATACTCCAAAAGGAAACAGTGTCCTTTTTCATATGATCAATGTTAATGCACTTTCTGACAGTCAAAGGGCTAGGTGGTGTGTGCAGAGGCCCTAAAGGGATAACACTGTCCTACCTGATAGTAGCAAGTCTGGATTTACAGCTATGTGAGCCGGACAACTGATAATGTACTCCACCTAGCAAGGCTGCTGTTAATCAAAGAGGGCACTGGTTTTTAAAATTAAACATTTGTGTTAACTTACTAGTCTGGTTATGTGTCAATAAAAGAGTCAACTTAGATAATGATCTTGTTTTTGCTGTGAAGGCAATTAAACGTCTACTGGATCCACCCTTTACTGTACGGCTGTATGTTATGTTTCTGGCAAATGGAAATATAGACATCAAGTAACTGGAATTGTTATAGGCCATTAATTTTTGAATGAATGCTAGCTAGGAAATGAAACGATGCAGCTACAGTGCCTGTGCTGTGCCTGACAGCAAATGTGAATGTGGGCTTCGGAGCATGCAATTCGGGAGTGGGCCACATCTCCCATAGTGAGCTACCGAGTGAGGTTTGAAAGAGAACTTTTGGTTACCAGGGTAACCCCGGTTCTCTGAAAACCGAGTGAGGTATCTCACAACACTGCCCTACTTGCATGGAGAGGGAATGTGGAAGAAATACGCTTGAGAATGCCGCGTGGTGGCACCAGGGGCGTTTATAAGGGAGGACGGGCATCTGAAGATGATTGGTCTGTCTCAGGACAGACGTGGTGTCATTGGAGCTTCCATGATTGGTCACACCAGGAGGCGCTTCCCACAGTGAGATACCTCACTTGGTTTTCAGAGAACCGGGGTTACCCTGCTAACCAAAAGTTCTCTTTCAAACCTCACTCGGTATCTCACTATGGGAGATGTGGCCCACTCCCGAATTGCATGCTCCCAAGCCCACACCACCACCACAAGCCCTCCCCATGGGCTGGCACACAAGTAATATGAACCCACACTCAGGACTGAGTGCGACAGTGAAGGCGCTGTTACATCTAAACGGTAAAACCGAATAAATGTGTGTGGGGATGCCCAACTAGCAGCAGCACAAATGTCACCCACCGAAATGCCCCTCTCCAGGGGCTGCAGTCCACAACTCTCATAAGCCAGGACTATAGCCTCCACCCCCCAGTGTGACAGGCGCTGACAAGTCAAAGCCTTCCCTCAGTGAGGAGGGGCCCAAGACACAAAAAGCTGGCTACTTTTCCTTAATCCCTTAGTCCTGTCCACATAGATGCGCAAAGCTCTGACAGGACAAAGTGAATTTAGCCGCCTCTCACTCTCCCCTGCAAAAGGTGGTGGGTGAAAAGCCAGCAGTTCCAGCGTCGGGCAGCTGTAAGCAGACTCGCTAACCTTAGGCCGAAAAGCCGGGTTAGGGCGCAACATCACTTTCCCATAGTCAAGTTGGGACAAGATGTGTGGACAGATAATGCATGTAATTCACTTATCCGTTTGGCTGACGTTAGTGCCAACAACAGGATAGTTGACTCCAATGGCTCAAAAGGCAGCCCTGAGAGTGCCTCCAAGACAGTTGGCAAGTCCCATGAAGGAACTAAAGGTTTACAAGCTGGCCTCAAGCGGCGAGCTCCCTTCATAAACCTCCTTACCAGAGAATGCTGTCCAATCGCTGCATTCCCAAAACCCACATGGCAGGCTGAGATTGCAGCCAAATAGACCTTAATGGTGGAGAATGCTTTACCATTGTCTAGTAAATCCTGCAGGAAGCATAACACCTCTGAAACAGGACACTGAAATGAAACGATGGCTCTAGCCTCGCACCATCTCTCAAACACACGCCACTTTCCGTCATACAATGACTGCGTAGACGGCGCCCTTGCACTTTGAATGGTCTCAATCACACTTAACGGGAGTTAAGTGTGATTGAGACCATCCACACGGTCCTTCTTCCTCAGGTCGGTAGCTTGTTGCATGGCGGTAACAGCCTCACCAAATAAGCCCTTATCCCGTGACGGGTTGAATCCATTATGACCTTCTTATCCTGGTCCGGCAGGCTGGAAAGATTTAGCCACAACGATCTCTCTCCCGCCACAGCCAGGCCCATGACGTAGCCACAGCCCTGTACCGCGCCTCTGGACACCCGGAGAATAAGGTCTGTCACGAAACATATCTCCTCCCACATAGTCGGACTTGGGGAGCCCTTATCTAAAAGGTGACCCATGTCCTGGAACAGCTCGGCCTGGTAAGCCGTGAGCAGGGTGACCACATTCAGATTTTTTATCGACTGGG